TTTTTTTTTATATATCTGACTCATCCTATCTTGATTGTACGACTCAGCTTCTTTTCCTCTCACTTATGCCTCTTTTTCTCTTATATACCAACGGTTACTCTATGTTCATATGACAATAATTAGGGTGTCCTTGTGTTGGGTGTCCTTTGAATTTTGGTCCTACATACCTCTTTAGTTACTTTTTAAGCTTAGGTCATAATAGTTCATGAAAATTCCCTCATTAAAACTTTGATAGTGTCACGACTGCATTTTTTCTATGGGGTATTTTCTGTGTTTTAAACTATCTTTATCAAAGAGATTTCGTGGTTTTCGTAAACTTTCACAATTTTTTAATGGATTTTGCTTCTTTTTTTCTCTTTTTTCAATAAGTCTGGGATTGAAATTTTATTATCTTCTCGCCGTCGGGTGAATTTCCTTCAAGGGATATACTTCCATTTTCATTCTCTTATTATTGGTACTGTCTCATTATTTCTTCCAATCCTGTTCTAAATTTCACAACTTCAAGAATTCAGTGGAATGGACGATTGCTTCGAATCTGGCAGAAAACACGACTTTGAAGACGACGAGCATCCAGCATTTAGTAACGTTAAACAAGAAGATACTGACGAAGCAAACTTTTCAAGCACAGAAGGTGATTTGGAGTTGGATATGAGTGCCATCGAGCGTCCAAGTCCAAATATGAGGAAATTTAAGGCAAGTACCTCATCTTTCATAAATGGCAATATTTAAGGGGTGAAATTCGATTGAATAGTCTCTTCTCACTGTTTATGCAAAAATTATAAGCCATAGATTTTGGGAACTTTTGCTTTAAATCTTTTCCCCAATACTCTCATATCAATGAAAAATATTGGTACCATATGTTTTCAAGCTTATCATTTTCCTATGAGTGAGAGCTGGCTGTTACTCAAATTACTTTCAGCGCGAATTCCCTGCTGGACGATTCCTGAAAAAGGAACTGGAATATATCGCCAAAACTTATTGCGATAATTACAAAACATTCTACTACTCAACCGTGAATGGAGGAAAAGACAAAGATTCCATTGCTGTGAGTTTTGATTTTGAAAATGCAAACAAACAAAATAGAAAAATAATCGTTCGATAATAATCATTCTTAGTCATCTACCTATATTTTTTTACATTTCTTATAACGACAAGGTTTTTGTGACCAATTTTTACGTATTAGAGAAAAAAGGCACTGCTGTTGGAAATGGCTGAACATGTCTCAAAACTGGGCGACGAGCCAAGGACTGTTGAGCAAATAGAGCAGAAAATCCGCGATGAAATGAAACGAGTGAAGAAGTACTTGATTGCCAAGGTAATCCTTGACAGTTGCATTACTACTTTCTGCAAAATTTTTCCATGTTTTTATGAAAGCTGTAACTTAAATCTTATTTTATAAAATATTCAAGAAATTCCCTAGTCTATTTTGTTTTATCCAGAAACATGGCAGACCTAATGGAAAGCGTGAAATTGTTCTGTCAACACCACAACAAATGATTGCCGATATGATAGAAAAAACCACGTTGGAACCTTTTCGACAAAGAATCTACGAGCCTTCCAATGGTGAAGATTCTGCAGCAGGAG